ACATCTCTACCTTCTTGGAGTTTAAGGAATATGACATATGAAAATAACTGCAATAGAAAAGAAAAAGAAGAAGAAGAAGAAGAAGAAGAAGAAGGATGGGGAAAGTTTTTATGGTGAGAGTAACCTTGGAGCTGGCCTTTAAAGGATGGGTGGGCATGACTCCCCATTCCCCACACCCTCAGTGACCTGATAAATCACTTATCCTCTTGGAGGCTCAGTTTCATCTGTTTGAGAAGGATTATAAATTTACATGATTTACTTTACAGGGTTATTTTGAAGTAAACACTTTGTAAGCTTTTAAAATGTTTTAGAAACCAGAGGTATTCTTATGTTCTTGATTCAGAGAAAACACTTTCAATAGTTTCACGTCATAAAATGTCTTTGACTATCTTTGGATACTGTCCTCTATTAACAAAAATCTTGCTGAATAAGATGTCAAATGTGTCTCCTACTGGAGTTGTTTTGTGGTTGAATAAGTAATAGTTTATTTCAAAGTGTTTTACACATAATAAAGTGTTTTAGCAAATGCTAATGTGGCCTTGAGATGATATTTACCTTTTGTTAATGCTGTTACTATCAATTTCAATCAGTCTCTGACTTAGTATTCATATGGATGTCTCAGGTTTACTTGAAGAAATATGCAAATAGAGAGTAAATTCTCCAAGTCACCTCAGGAAAAAAGGACAAAAAGGGATCTTGACTTTTTCAACTTGTCTTCCCATGTATTAGCATTCAAAATAATTATCCTTACTGAATAATTTCTGACAATACCCTCATCTGTCAAGAAAATTCAGTGGACTTTTTGGATACCAGTAGGAAAGAAAAGGAATATGCCAGAGCTGATAGTCTTAATTTGCAAACCATCAACTACAATTCTGACCTAGTCCTGAGCTTCCTGGAAAGGATTCAATACTAGTTTTGAAATGATAAAATGATGGCGAAAATGGAGTGATCAAGCCTGCTGGGATCCATCACCACCTAAGTGGTAATTAGCACAATTAGCTAGACTGGGCAGCATTACATCATTGTAACAAAGGTTCTTTTGGCCAATCCACTCAGATAATTGGACATTTTGCCATGGAATAAATCATTCCCAGTGAATTACCGGTTGATGAGGGCCAAGGGCCCCATTTTAGCCAGGCTTCTAAATCTCTGCTTTGCCCAATCACTTTCAGATATAAAGCAATAGTTTTGGGTCTCCTCCTCCACCATACAGAGAGATAGACAGTAATAATGTGTGGCATTGCAGCAAAATGAAAATATCTCATAGGTGTGTGAAATATGAGAAAGCAGAAAAAATAGCAGTCATGGCATTCAGTCTAGCATAACAATAATAATAATAATGATAACAATAACAACAATAAGCATGTATATAGTATGTCCCAAAAGTCTTAATGCAGTTTTAAGTTTTAACTTTCACAGAGCTTTTAAAGTTCCTGAACTGTTTTACATATATTTTCTCTTTTGGTTCTTACAACAATCCAAAGAAGTAGATGTTATTATTATGCCCTCTTACAGATAAGGAAGCTGAGACTCAAGGAGGTTAAGAGATTTGGCCTGAATCACACCACAAATAAGTGGCAGCGGCTGCATTGATATTCTTAATCTTGAAAAGGGCAAAAAAGGGTTCTTACTATCTGCTGTGGCAAACCATCCTTGATATGAACAGGTCTTCATACCTTATTTTTCCATCTTATAGGAAACAGTGTTGGATCTGGAGTCAAAGAACCTAGATTCCAAACCTTACTTGGCAATTTAAAAGTTGTATGACCTTGTTAAAGTCATTTAAACTTTCTGCCTTAGTTTCCTCATCTATAATTCAAACATGTTAGAATAAATGATCTTGGAGCAGTTAGGTGGCTCAATGGATAGAGCACTGATCCTAGAGTCAGGAAGACCTGAATTCAAATCTAGCCTCAGATACTTACTTAGCTGTGTGACCCTTGACAAATCACTCAATCCTAGTGCCTCCAAAACAAAAAAAGACTTCTAAATTCCTTTTAATTTTTAAGTCCAACATTCCTAAGCCTAGTCAGATAACAGCATCATAAGCAGAGTTCCTTAGTTATAAAGAAGAGAAAAGTTAACACCTTGTAGCTATAATAATTGTACAGGTACCACTTTCTGATCTCTTTTGGGTTTGCAAAGCACTTTACAAATATTATTTCATTTAGGCCTCAGTAATCTTAAGAAGTAAGTACTGAAGGTACTATTATACATAAAAACTTAGCATTATACATAGAATTTAAAAGCTTCTACTTTCTAACAAATTTGAACTCTGGGCAAGAATTTCATTGAGAGTCCCTATTCTTTGTTAACTGCTCAGTATGCAGATACTTTCCACCCTTCTCCACCCAACAATTATATATTAATCAGAAAATTAATTTGGTCAAACACAGCAAGAACTTATATCATGAACTAATCAAGTCTTTTAAGTCTTATCACCTTTACTTTTCACTGATGGATTCTTTTCTTCTTTTCAAGATTCAATAAAGCCCTCCACCTCAGGAATTTTAGTGTTTAGAGGACATCAAATAATAAAATCATTATCTTTGGTATTCCACCCATGAGGACATTCCATTTTTCTCTGCTTTTGTTTCCCCCTCCTTTGGTTTTACAACCTTTCTTATAGTAGAATTATGCCAATCCATACTGATGATCAGGCTGGGCTAAAAACTTGTTCTTGTACTTGTCCCTTTAAAATCTCCAGTACAGGAAAAAAAACCCAAACAAACCTTTTTTTCCCCACCACATTATTTGGAAGAGGACTGGATCTATACTGTCCCAATGCCTTGTCCAGGACAGATATCATAACACAAATGGCTAGAGACTCAAAATGTGACATATGGGAGGCCCCAAGATCTTGTGGATTATGGGATCATATCTATTTTCGTAATAATTCTAAGATGTTTTAACTTCTAACATGGTAAATATAGAAAACTTGAACCCATGTAAACAGAAGTTTAAGTTTTTAAGAGTGTAAAGGGGTTCTGAGACCACAAAGTCTGGGAACAACTGCCCTAATGGGGGCTCATGTTGTCTGGCACCTTGGGCAAGTTACTTTACCTCAATGAGTCCCAGTTCCTGTTTATCCAAAGTAAGGATAACACTCTACTACTTACCTTCTATGGATCCTTGTCAGGAAAATGCTTTGTAACTATAAAGTGATATATAAGTACACACTTATTATTACCACTGCTGTTATTAGCAAGAAGTAGCTGGATGAGGTAGTTTGGGTACTGAAAAGATACTTATTATCATTATTATTAATGCTTAGGATAACCTAATATTCAACATCCACCTTCTGCTGCAGAAAACATCCAGCTGAATTCATTTAGAGAGTAATGCCCTACCCACAGACATATCTTCAATTCCTACTTGACTTATAGACTGAGCCCTTTACAATTAATCCAGAAAATGCAAACAGCTGATGTTGAAGAAAAGTTTATATTTGTATAGTCCCTTGCAATGAAATAAATGTTTGAGAAAGACTCTACTCCATTTATAATCATGGAAAACCACAAAGATTTATGCAAGACTGCAAGAAATGTCATTCATTCAACATGTATGAATTGAGCACAAACTACATGTAAGGCACTCAGTGGAGTGTGATATATTGTAGTAAAAAATATATGTATATATAATTAACAATCCCCAGGACCTTCCTGGTGTCAGAAGGTGTTTAATTGTGTCAGGATGATAAAGAGTTTCTAGCCCAGCATTGCTGGTGGGCTCATTTGAACTATGAACCTTTTCCATGATAAAGGCTGTACTTTGCAGGGGGAGGGAGATCCAATAATGATTATTAATCATAATCCACACTGGAGTCATATTACCTATCTTCAATTGCTGTTTTGATACTGCCGCTGTTGCAAAGAAGCTTTCCAACACTTTTTGAAAGGAGTTATTTTCTACGAAGAATGCTGATCTGTGTAATAAAAAGTACAATGATCAGATTTTTACGGCATCTAAAAGAGGACTGAAAAGTTATTGCTTGCGGTTTTTATCTCATTGCTTTAACAGCGCCTGGTTGAAGCTGGCCTTCATTTAACAAATTTACTAGTGAAACATTTTTAAGGAGAAAAATCAAGGTGACATTAGAACAATAAACTAGTCGTTATGAGCGTGAATTCAATAGAGAAGTCATTGTAGCTATTAGTTAACATTTAAGCTCTAACTCATCTGTGGCGCCAGGAGATTTTGCTGAGCAAGAAGCAGCTAGATGGAGTAGTATTTGGATACTGAAAAGATACTTCCAAAATTAAGAGAGGTGCACGAATGCATACCTCTCCTATCGCTGTTTATTTTGGAGGCGGGGGCTGAGGGGAGAGGAAGGAAAAAAAAGTTTAAACATACTAACTGAGAGCGACTACACCCAGGACGAAGCCACTCATCCTGAAACTGAGTTCATAACTTGATCTCATCAAAACGGACGCCTGGTGATAATTCGTCTCCCCCCTCCCCCTCCGACTTAAAACCCTTTAAGAAAGGAACCCGAAAGAGTCCACTTGACGGGCCGGAGCTTTGCTAATTTCACCCTTGCAAAATATTAATTAAAGGACGCCACTAAAAAAGCTCTAGACACAGAGCTATCCTTGAGTCTCCATTTGGAAAAACAAATGTTTGCATGCGTGTGTGTATTTTCATGGGGTACCACGACATGTCCCCTCGAATTTCATTATGTCCCGGGAGCCAATCTGAACGTGCATGCTAATTAGCTTAACTCCCTCGATACTCAAGCCTTTGTCGCAGACTGAGGAACTCTTCAGGGGCCGGACTACAAAACCCACAATCCCCCTCCCCACCCTGATCAATGAGGGCTTATTTAAATAATCTGTGAGCTTTTGGACCCAGGCCAATCAGCTGTCAGGGCTCATGATAAATCGCAATGCATTATTGATAATCATAATTACTCTGACATGCGCGTTCCAGCAGAAGGGGGTTATTTCCCAACTCTAGGAATTTGTTGTGAAGGGGAAAATAATTGCTACAATTTTGCTCCCGATGCTCGAACCATGTCGAGACGCAAGCAGGCGAAACCCCAGCACATCAACTCTTCCGAAGAGCCCCAGCAGCTTCCAGATGCGGCAGCCTGCTCTTCGGTTGGCGCCTCCTCCTCAGCTACGACCCCGGCTGCCGCCGCAGCAGAGCACGGTAAGTGGGCAAGGGAATTGGGCTTCTCCGGGTCGCTTTAGAACTTTGATCGACCGCCGGGGACGGACACCGGGAGCGCGCGGGGACTCGGGGAGGCTCTTCGGGGCTCCAGCTTGGGCTTCTCCTTGCCCGATGGTCAGCGCCCGACACTTGGCTTTTTTTTTTTTTTGAGGGGCAAAGGGAATTTAAGCCGGTTGTTTTCCAGTGTAATTCTCCGCCCTGTGCAGCTCCCAGGCTTTTCGGCACAGGGGAAGCAGTTGCTGTGTTGGGAACAATTTAGGGTGGATTCAAAAAAATTCTCATGGTTCGAGACCTTCCATCCTGTTTGCAGCTGCCCTAGATCCCCGGCTCTGCGTTTCACTCTCCTAACCCCGTGCCATCCCCCCCCCCCAGTTTCTCTGGAGCTGGGGTCGGCGGGGTTTTCCCCCCGGGGGATGCGAACTGTTGCGCACGCGACCTGCTCTGGGCTCGTCGCCCACCTCCACCCAGGGCAAAGCGGGGGGGTGGGGGCGCTGGGGGCGCTGGGGAGGCAAGAGTCACGGAACCCCTGACCTCTGAGCTCCCGGGGGGCGCCGGGAGCTCGCCGGATCTGCCTGTAGGGCTCGCCCTCCCCTTGGGGCCCTGGGGAGTGGTGAGGGGGTGCAACTTACTGCTTTCTTCCCCCCCCCCACCCCTGGGCTATCGCGGTCGCCCCGGACCTTTGTAGCCTGACCTCCAGCCATCTTTGATTTCCGACTTCCTAAAATAACCCGCGGTGAGCTAATGGGGTCCGGGTAGTTGGGGAATGGGTGTGTGTGGTGTGAGGTCGCTTTTTTTTTTCTTCGTGAACTCCGACTCTTTGCAGCTTTTTTGAGGGAAGACGTACGTTTTGAAGACGCTCTAACCCTTTGACGCTGGGTCCCCACAATGTGTGGGGGCGGGATGGGGATTGGGAGAGGTCAGGGGGGAGGGGAAAGGGATGACTGGGGCGGGGTGGAGGAATTAGGGGCTGGGGGGTTGGTTTTTTCATTTTAGGTGACCCTCCCGAGGCAGACGGGTCCCCCCCCCACTTAGCGGTGGAAAGTTTTTTTGCTGCTTCGCCTCCGGCAATTTCAAGTGACTTAGATATTCAAGCTCCACTATCTATCTCCATTCTTCTCTTCCCCCTTCTCACCCTCTCCCCTCGCCGCCAAATTGTCTCCGATTGTGGGTGTGTGGTGTTTGCCCAGCCACTACTAGAGTTCTGGGGTCCCTCCGATAACTAATTTCTAAGGCACTGAAAGCAGCTGTTTTTGGGGTGAGGGTGGTGAAGATCGAGGAGGTCTCAGGCCCCTAGTTTCAACCCCGACCCATTGATATCTGAAGAGGAACTGGAATTTCTATTGGTTCCCAATTAATCATTCTTGAAATAGTTAAAACAAGTTAGTTAACAGCCACACCCTCCTCCCAGGAAGGATTTGGTTGTGTGCTTTTAAATAGCAACTTGGATTTTAGCTCTAGTTATCTTGTGTAATCCAAACACACTCCCCCCATTTTAACTTATTTTTTTTAAAAGTAGTTATAGTCCTGAAGCCCTTGAGCGATTGCACGCGAGGACTGAGTTGTATGGTTTTTTTGGGGGGGAAGGAGGAACCAAATGTAGTTTTGGGGGGGGGGTCTGGCTAATGGTAACTGGGGGATTTTCGATTCGGCCAGAAGGCAATAAATCCCATGTTTAATGCATGACTGTTTTTTCTTTGTGCCTTCGGTTAGGCTGGGGGGCGGAGGTGATGATTCCACATGTAAATCGCAGCCCACTGCTGGAGAGCTGCCTCTGGGGACCAGCCAAAGACAAAAGGGTTAACGTTGGGGGCTGCATGCTTGATTTGGTACTGGCAGAGGAGTCAGCTAAGTTGTGCGAATTTCCTCACTTAAAGACTTACCTGAATGCGTTAAGTATCTCTTGTTTCAGAGTAAAAGTTGGAAATAAAATTTGGACTCTAGTTTCAAAAAGTTTATTTCTCTAAGACAATGCAGTTAGCAGTTTCGGGCCATTATGGTTTTAAAGTACCCCCTAGGTGTTCTCACTTTTGGATGGGAGGTCTTTGTTAATCAGAAACAAGTTTGCACTTAATTGAGTGGCTTGTTAATTGCTAACATGTACTGTATCTGTATGTTTTCCGATGGAGAACTAAATTGCCAGCTGGCGCCATCTAGAGTTCAGCTAAGCACCAGCTCGTAAACCGTCATCCTCTTTCCCCTCCCCCCTATCATCTTTCCTCAGGTAACTCACACCTTGTCTTGTTTTTTGAAGTAGTTTTGGGTAAAGCTGGGCAGCTGAGACCTCGGGTCTCATTTGGTGTTGACATTGCACCCCTTCTCCCCAATTGTAGAACCCTCCTGAGCCCAGGGTGCCACAAGCTTTCTCCAGTTTAGGTGCTTTAGGTCCTCCACCAATCTGAGAGAGGGTTTCTCTTTTTTTTTTTCCCCTCTTTTTGCAGTGGGGTTGAGAGCTTCCCTGCAAGTGGGGCACAAACTGCTGGGATTCAACCTGAAAGTATAACAAATCTATCAACTTCTGTTTGTGATTGCTATCAGAAGCAGTGGGAGGGAGAAACCTTGAAAGGCTATATTATGCTGGAGAGGTTTTCTCTTACAGTTGGAATTTGGAAGACTTTTAAATTCCCAGATCTGTGTTTTTGAAAGCATTGGTCACCCATGGAAGAAAATCTTGGATGCTGAAATAGTTGGTGAAATAGTTAGAACAAAAGACTTTCAAATAGTATTAATTCTCTACTCAGGTTATTTATGACTAAGCTAGGGGCCTAGGTGTATATGCTTTTTAAGGTTGGGTTGACCTAATTTGCAAGGCAATTTGAGACCCACCTCTGAAAACAATGCCATTTTTGGGAGGAAAATGGTTGTGGTAGCGGGACAATCAATTAGCAGATCAAAAAATCAGCAGGTGGCCAGAGGAATAATGCTACATACCGAAAATTAGCATTTTCTCTAAAGGGTTTAAAATGCCCATTGTGCCATACTAGATTACCATCATTAAAGTCTAACATTTATACCTTTAAAAAATATCTAAATTTTAAGAATAAAAAATCTTATTTAGAAGGAAAGAGTACTGTTTTAGAGCTTCCACACTAGCTCAAAAACTTAATGGAAATGTAAAGTTTAAGGATTAAGAGGAGGGAGGCTCTTCCAAAGCTTGGAAAAGTTGTTACTGGAAGCTTCTGTTGGATAGATAATATTAGATTCTGTTTAAATTTCAGAATGGGATTGGGAGGGGAGGAGGGAAAAGAAGCATGCATATTTCTTAACTTGATGCTTGACTTCTATTTGACCACTTAAAAAGTTTGCATTGCAAAATGTGTGCTGCCTTCTACAAAGAATGTAGCATTGAGCATCACCAAGAAATGATACTTCATGGTTAATATGTTGACTAATTTTTAACCCCACTCAAAATTTAGTTTAGGTATTCATTCCACATATTTGATACCTACTGTGTGCCACAGCTGCCCCAGGCAGTGTTATAAAGAAATAACCTTGCCCTTCCTAGTTTGTTTTATAGACTTTGGTGTTAGAGGTGATACATGGATGTCAGTCTTAGAATTGGGATACTGTGAGTTGGCAGCAAAGTTAGAGTTCCAGGTTTTGTTTTGGGTTTGGTTTTTTTTTTTAAGTTTAGTTTTGTTGTTTTTTGGTATTAGCTTGCACAAATGGGTGATGTTGCAGTTTTGGTCTTATTTTAATACTAAAAAAGAAATTTACTACTAAGAAAGGCACAATTTGATTTTGGATCTTTGTATCCATTTTTCTTGCTCCCAGTTTTTCTACTAACTCCTAATTTTATAGATGGGGAAAGTTAAGTTTGGAAAGGTCCACACATAAGTAGCAAGTTAACAGTTGCTTGGATATTCCCAAGCACAGGTTCTTGGAACCCAAAGCCAATACACATTGCATTGTGTATCTTGTAGCTTCCTGGTATTTTAAATGTCATTGAGGTTTTGCTTTTTACATCAAACTAGTTTCCCAATCTTTTTGCTGTCCCATAAATGGGAGAGCCAGTGTCTTTTAACAAGACAGCAAGACCAACATGAAATGTCTCCACATATTACATACTTAAGGGTATTTTTTTTTTTAGTACTTCTCATTGTGAAGATGGCAACAATATTTCATTAGGCACCCATTCAGAAAGGTCAGTTTTTGTCTTGTTGCCTCCCTTTTTGGAGAAAGATTAGTTTAGATATGGAATTGTAAGTCTCTCTAATGTAGTAATATTAATGTAATTTTGTAGTGCTCTCTGCTGTCCATATTTTAAGGTTCCCATTAAGCTGAATGAGAACATACTGAGGAGTTTTCAAGTTTGAGCAACATAACAGGGAACTGGACACTTGAAAGAGCCTCAGAAGCTTCTACCTATGTGTCCTTGAACAAGTCACTTAACCCCTTTGCCTCAGTTTTTTCAGTTGTAAAATGAGAATAATAGTACTGTCACCCACAATTGTTGGGAAGATCAAATGTGCTATTTGTAAAACACTTAGCACTTACTATGTGCCAGACACTGCTATGTGAATATGTATGGTTTGAAAGTAGCAACCTTAGGTTGCTAAGGCCATTTTGAAAAGTGGCTTAGGTCTAACATACCCTCCCCCCCCCCAAAGTACTACTGGTGTCCCCATAGTTGCCTTGCCTTGCCTTCCCTTAATAACTCAGTTTTTGACTAAAAAAAAAATTGGTTGAGAACCAGAAGGGAAACTTGTGAGCCATCCAAATGCTCACCTCACTTTTTATGAAGAAGGAAACTGAGATTCAGTGACTTGGTTAGAACCACTTGCCTGACATGACTAGAACAGCTCTGGTTGCATATATCAAACTATAAGACGCTTGAGTACTACTAACTGTTTCAGCAGTGCACTTTGTGAGTAGAACCTAAACTTTGGAATGTGTGTTAGTGTTTGGCTAAAATGTTTCTTTAAAGGTTGGTAAATCTTTCCTTTGTCATTCTAGAATAACCTGTCCTATTTTGGATTTTAATTTAATCCTGATCTTCTTTAAATGAGTTTCAGATTGGACACCTTAAAGTAAAGATAAGAATTAAAAATAAAGCATGGACATTATCCTAAAACTTACTATGCTGATCACTTAGAGGATTTCTCCTTTGTAACTTTAAGGAGGGAAAACATAATTGCCCTTTTATTTTCAGGAGGGCTGATTATGTTTTTTTTTTTAAGCTACTCAATACAGTTTCCTTATTTTTAATATAGAAACAAGTAAGGAGATAAGTTAAAATGCAGTCAAGATACTGTTTAGTGTTTCCTAGGTTCTTGAGTATTTCATCTAGTATTGTATAGGATGAAGGCTTGCTTACAATAGTAGGTTATTTTCTATCCATTTGGCAGTGATTGAATCTAAAACCCCTGCTGGGTGTCCGGCATTCTTCTAACTTATTGGATACCTAGATGCTGAGAGATAACATTCCTGAAATTCGGGGAGGTGGAGAGATGGGAAAACAGTGCAAAAGTACAATCCCTATTTTTTTAAGAGGTTAACCCGAGTGCATGAACAATGTTCTTCCAAGGCCCCTCTTGCTACTTTGCAAACACCGATACAGTATTTGGACAGAGGTGATCTTGAATGTAGACATGCTTCACAGGTTTGCTTTATACACAAGTAAAACCCTACATTGAAGTTTAAGACTGTCAAGTATGATGTTACTGATAATGGTGTCTTAGGTAAAGAGTCAAGTCAGGCTTGTGTAGTAAATGTTTTAGGTGGTCTAACTGTAAATCACTCTGTGGAACCATTCACTGTCCTTGACCTGAGCAATTGTAATTTTAGAAATCTTTGCTATCTTAGTTTTACTTAGTAATGACAGCATAGGAAGTCTTAGGAAGTCTTGGGTTGGTCAAACAATTTATTAAGCACTGGGGAGGCCAAGAAAGGTAACAAGGAGTTCACAGTCAGATTGGGGAGACAATGGGCAAATAACTAAGTACAAATAAGTTATATACAGGATAATTGGAAATAATCAACAGAAGGAAGACACTAGAATTGAGAGGGATCAGGAAAAGCTTCCTATAAAAGTGAGACTTAAAGGAAGCCAGAAAGAAGGCTGAGCTGAGGAGGGAGAGAGAGAGCAAGTTTTCTTCATGGTAGACAACTAATAAAAGAGCCTAGAGTTGGGAGATGGGAGTTTCTTGTGTGAGGATGTGAAAGGAGGCTAGTGTCACTGGATGAAAATACATATGAGGGGAGTGTAAGGTAGGAGAAGGCTAGATTAGGAAGAGCTTTAACACCAAACAGGATTTTATATTTGATCCTGATGGTGAGGGAGCCACTAGTTTGTAGAGTAGAGGAGTGCCATCTGACCTGTGCTTTGGGAAGCTCACTTTGACAGTTTTGAATCCTCTGATGGACTGGAGTGGGGACTGACCAACCAGTGCTATTGCAGTAGCCTAGGGCGGAGGGTGATGGAGGCCTGCACTCTAGTGATGGCAATGTCAGAAGAGAAGGGGGCATATGTAGGAATTAAGGAGGGGGAAATTGACAGGTCTTGGCAGAGATAGGATGATATGGTAGTAAGCAGTGAGGAGTCAGGATGACTTCTAAGTTAGGAGCCTGGATAACTTGAGAGAATGGCAATACCCTCAGTAGTACTAGGGAAGGTTGGAATTGAAGGACTTGAAGATTTGGGGAAGATAATGAATGCAGTTTTGGGCATGTTGCATTTAAGATGTCTACAGGACATTCGATTTAAGTTGTCTAACTGGCAGTTGGAGGTGTAAGGCTAGGGCTGGATAAGTAGATTTGACAATCATCAGTATGTTGATTTTAATTTAAGGAGCTGATGAAATTGCCAATGAAATTCTGTAGAATTAGTATAGTAGAGGACAGGACCCAGGATTGATCCTGGGGCTGTTAGGAAAGGTATCATATAGCTAGTGAGTATCCGAGCCAGGATTTTAATCCAGGTCTCCTGATTTCAAGTTTTAACATCCTTTTGCCCTCTTCACCTAATACAGTGGGTTCTCAATAGTACAAGAATCCCTGCAATCTTGACTATTGTCCATAAGGTCAAAACTTTTTATAACAAGATGTTTAAATTTTAATGAAGTAAATTTTGATAGATATGTAACCCATATAAACAAAAGCTCTTTAGGGGAAGAGTCCTCAATTTTTAAGAAAACAAAGCAGTCCTGAAACCAAAAAAGTTTGAGAGCCCACTGAATCCTGGTCCACAGCTCTACAATTTCATAGAACCATAAATCTGGAACTAGAAAGGTGATGGCAAGTTAAGCATTCCTTCCGTCATGCTACACTCCTCTATTTCACTTGAATTGTAAGGAAGGGAGCACAGCATTTGTTACTAGACTCCAGGGAGTCAGGAGACCTGGCCTCCAGCCCCAGTTCTCTCATTTATTTATTGTTGCAAGTCCTTTTAGGTTTTGCCCTTAGTTTCCTCTCCTGTAAGATGAGAGATTGGTTCAATTCAGAAGAATTTGAAGGATCAAAGTCTTTCTATTTTGTACGATAGGACTATGATGAATACCTACTGTATATCTAACATGGTACTGGTAGCTAGGGAACAGAAGAAAGGGGGGATATTCTCTCTCTCTCTCTCTTACAAGAAGATTAGAATCTAGCTGGGGAGATAATTTTTATGAACAGATATATGATGGAAGCAGCAATATGGCTTCATGGCCAGAGTCAGTCCTGAGCCAAGGAAGATAGCAGCTGAGGATTCACCCATGTACTCTTGACTTAGGTAAATGTCTTTATACTGACATCTGTGTCCCAGGTAATTCTCTGAACTAACTTGACTTATACCAATGAAAAATGAGTATAGTAAGCCCCCTTCCTTAAAAAAATCTTCTAAAGTGGAATTGGTGCTATATGGTAGGAATAGTCAAATAAAAAGGTATCGGAAGGGAAGAAACCTCAGTATGGGTTAGTTTTGTTTTGTTTTGGAATGCATAGGCAGGAATGGGAGTGGCAGCATTTTCAGCAAGGCACATAGATTTTTTGGAGAATGGATGTCTTTGAGGAGGGAAAAGAGGGGCAGTGACTAGACCTTAAAACAAATTGGGGAGGATCTTGAAAGACAGGCCTTTTAAATTTATTTTTAAAAGAATAATACCAATAACTACTGACTTTCTGTGAGTGGTAAATTTAAAAAGGACTCCATGGATATTCCTTTTTAAAGTAGAAAAAGTGGTTTGGGCTTGGAGTTGGATTTTACTTCCAAACAGACTCTCAGTGATCCCACATACAAAAAATAGTCTTTAGCTCAAAGTCATTACCATATGATTCTTAAGGGGAAATGGAAAGGAGTAATATTCTTGCCTCTCTAGTGAGTGATAAGTCCTTCAGTGCTTTCACTTAAATCATTTACCAAGAACATCTCAGTGTGCTAGGCTTCATGGGATTTAGAGCTAGAAATGACCTAGGAAAGACCATCTAATCTCAGATATTGTGACTTTACTGAGGTTAGACAAGTGGGATTTGTTTGAACTTTGATTTAGATTCCTTTAACTTTAATTCCACTTTTCCATAGGACTTTGGGATGTGTTAAGACTTGTGACCTAGCTGCCTAATGTCAAATCCTAAGTTTAGTGTGAGATTCAAAGGCAGGGGTCTCTTTGGTTTGGAATCCTTCTTAAAGGCTACTTGTTCTTTAGGGGGCAAGCAGGAAGGTCTTTAAGAGAGAGTTCCTAACTTAAGAGCATTAGACTTGCAAGTAACCTGCCACATATAAAGCTGGGATCATTTAAGGGAGCTGAACTGTGGGGCAAAACTCTTGGAAATCAGTTGTGTGTGTGTGTGTGTGTGTGTACACAAACTTTATAGTGTACAAATGAAGTGATTTGATTTCATTTTGTAACTGACTTAAAGTCTGACTAGTTAGGAATTGTCTAACCTTTATTAATTGATCATTTTATGAATTTACTGAAACATTGATTTAATTCCTAGCTGATTTCAGCTGTGGGTACTAGGAGAGTTAGTTTTTACAAAATAGTACTTCGTATGTAATTTTATAGTTTAAGTATTCAACATTTGGGTTTGACATTGGGAGGGTTCTCTTGGGGTATCTTAATGGGCTCAGGAATATTTATACCCACTTTAATGTACTACATTGGCCAATGTTCCTGGGACCCAGAATTTAGGCTCCCTCTGTAACTATTCAATTACCTTCTTAGAGGGGAAAAGGAAGGAAATAAGCATTTATAATAGCCCCTACTATGTGCCAGGGGCTGTGCTAAGGACTTTATAGTCTCACAACAAACCTTCAATGTCGGATGCTGTCCAGCTTTCAACTCTGGGGCTTCCTGATTTCAGCTCCATCACTATCTACTGTGCCCCTTGCCTGCCTAAGGAAGCCTGGATGGGGAAAATTTTCAACAAGTGAAATAGATAGGGGGAACTTGTGCTCTGATTGCATTTTAACCTCTCCCTGTTCTTGTGAAAGACCAAAAGAAACCTTTTTTATGTAGTGAAATGCAATGGTAGGCGAGGCCAAATGCTGTGTTACCTGTGGCTTGACTAGCATTCTTCCCATGGTATTATGCCAGTTTTAGAAACACTTGTGAGGTTAACAGCTTCTAAGGTACACCTAACTAAAGTAAATATCCTACTGACAACTGTCTTCTCAGGTTCATCCCTGTGTTTGGTTAGGATATAGTTTGTTGTCTGTATTAAATTTCTTTCTTTCTTTCTTTTTTGCCTCAGGTGGTCCACCAAATTGCCCTGGAGATGGAGAGGGAATAAGAGGAAGAGTTAAACGATGTCGAACTGAGGAAACTAATGTCTGTGAGAAATGCTGTGCAGAGTTCTTCAGCCTTTCCGAATTCTTGGAACATAAAAAAAATTGCACTAAAAATCCACCTGTCTTAATCATGAATGACAGTGAGGGGACAGCACCTCCTGAGGTCTTTACAGAAGTTACCCCAGCCCCATCAGAGAATTTTCCAATTGATCGTTTGGAAAGCCAGGGCAGTAAAGATAGTCGTTTAAAGAATTGCACTGGTTCTGTGGACAAGAAAGAAAAGTCTGGTGGGGAGGCAGGGACCTATCTCAAAACAGAGCCCACAACTCCTGCTGCACCCCATGGGATAAGCTATTTACCAAAAGGCAAAGTTCCCAACACTAATGTGACTTTACAAACACTACGGGGGACCAAGGTAGCTGTGAATCAGAGGAGTGCTGATGCTGTGTCTTTACCAGTCCAAGGCTTTGGCACCTTCCCCATGATCCTGGAACAGCTAATGAGTCTCCAGCAACAACAGCTTCAGCAAATCCAGCTTACTGAGCAGATCCGTGTGCAAATGACAATGATGGCCACCAGTGGTCAGCACCCATCAGTATCTCATGGCTCTGACCCTTTGAAAACACTGGGCACTCATATGTCCCAGCACCTCTCCACTGCTTTGGCTTTAGTTGGACAAAAGGCTGGAAGCCAGAGCCTGTCGCTGGAATCCTTGAAACAAGGTAAACTACCTCATGCCAATATAGGCATCCCAACTGCTGGCTCAGTGGCCTCTGGGCTGCCATCTTTCTCTTTAAAGCCTGATGCAAACAGGATCCTTCCTAACTCAATGTCTCGTCTTCCAAATCCTTTACTACCTCAATCATCAGGCTCGGTTCTTTTCCAGAACCCTTTCCCTTCAGTGTCTTCTGTGTTGGACCCATCCAAGAAAGGGAAGGGGAAACCTCCCAACATCACTGTTTCTGAGAGCAAACCAAATGCTGAGGAGCCCTTCTTCAAGCACAAATGCAAGTTCTGTGGCAAGGTGTTTGGAAATGATAGTGCCTTGCAAATTCATCTCCGTTCCCATACTGGGGAGAGACCATACAAATGCAACATCTGTGGCAATCGCTTTACCACTAAGGGGAATTTGAAGGTTCACTTCCAGCGCCATAAAGACAAGTATCCCCAGATAAAAATGAATCCCCACCCAGTCCCTGAACACCTGGATAACCTGACAAGTACCAGTGGGATCTCATGTGGGATACCTGTACCAATGGATGAATCGAATCTGATTGTAGACAGCAAACCTCCCCTGACCACCGGGACCCCTCCCCTAGGCTTACCTAGCCTGTCTTCTCTGACCCCCAAAGACTCAGTTGGTGCTTTTCCCAATGATCTACCATCCAGGCCTTCTCCAGAGAGTGAAGGGGGTTCTACATCTTCTGGTATGGCCAGTCAAGAATCTGGGACAGAGCAGAGTTCCCCACAGGCTGGTAGTAGCATTGGTGGTTTCTCAGGCAGTGGCACCACTGAGCAGGGGTCTGAGACTTTGAAGTTACAACAGCTGGTAGAAAACATTGATAAGGCTACCAGTGACCCCAATGAATGTATCATCTGTCATCGAGTTCTAAGCTGCACAAGCTCTTTGAAAATGCATTATCGCACTCACACTGGGGAGAGACCATTCAAATGTAAGATCTGTGGAAGGGCCTTCTCCACAAAAGGCAATCTTAAGACTCATTATGGAGTTCACCGAGCCAACACCCCTTTAAAAATGCAACATTCTTGCCCCATTTGCCAAAAGAAATTTACCAATGCAGTAGTGTTGCAGCAACATATCCGAATGCACATGGGTGGCCAGATTCCTAACACCCCTATGCCAGAGAATTCCTGTGACCATGTTGATATGGATCCAGCTATTATCAATGAGAAAAATGGAGATGCCATTGTTGATTGCATTGATGAGACAGTTGAAAGCATTGTTGATATGGAAGACTTGGACTCCCAAGATGTTCCTAGTGGTTCATCTAAGCCATCTACTCCATTTACTGATACTCAGTCAGAAACACCAGCTGTGGCATTTACCAGCATCTCAGTATTAGAGGCCCCAGGGAAAATGGGCAATCCATCTCTGAGCCTTCAGCGGCAGAGTAGTCTGAAGTCAAGTTCGGCAGATAGTGATGGCATGACCAATGACTCCTCATCTGTAATAGGAGATCAAGATTATCAAAATGGCCGAAGTCCAGAGTCCGCATTGTTCCAAGCATTATCCCCTACAAATAGTCAAGCTGAAAGTATTAGGTCCAAGTCACCTGGTTTAATCAATCATGATGACGTGGGAAATAAGACTGAAGGACCGGAAAACCCTCCAGCAGAAACTGAAGGTGATGGTGCTTTGGATTTAACTTATGCCAATATTGGCCGAAAGGTCATCAAGGAAGAGCCTGGGTTAAATTTTTCAAATGGGGAGTATGGTAGGTATTTGCTGCTGCGTAGGGAGAAAAAAAATCCCTGATTTTTAAAAATAGCATTTCATCACATATCAGTCACTGAATCGCTGTTAAGGGACTTCATCAAGTCATCTATTCCTAGCCATACTTGGATAGGAATTCCAGCTATATCAGAGGTTTGGCAAACTGGCTGGATTTGGCCTGCTTTTGTGATCCATGACGTGACATAAGATCCATGACATAAGAATGGTTCTTGTGGTAAATTTTTTTTTTACATATTTAAAAGTATAAAAAAACCATTATTTTGCCAGCCCCTGAACTTATATCATCAAGCAGTCATCTTGCCTTTAGTTGAAAGTTTTGTTAATAAGGAGCCAGTTATATATTAACACTCTAAGTATTAAAATAATAGCTGGCCTTTCTGTAGGGGTTTAATTCTACATGCATGCCCTGCTTCATTTGATTTTGCCCCATTCTGTCCCAGCATGACCTAATTTTTTTCCCTAGTAATCCTGGGAGGGGGATTGCTTAATATATGGTCCCCAAGAGTTGCTGCTTTTATCAAGACATGTGAGAGGAATTTTATTTACTTGCCTATGGTCTCACAGGTAATATTGGTGAAATTTGTTCCCAGGTCTCTTTCAGGTTTAGTACTCTGTGGTACCACACTGTCTTCACTCTTTAGGCAGTTTGTAAGCTGAAATCTTTCTTTTCTTCCAAATATACCCATTGGTCCTAGTTCTGCATTCTATGGCCAGCAGACCCAAGTCCAGTTGAGTGCTTTGCTTAGTTTAAGCAAACCCTTAAGGATGAAATATCTTGCCTTCAGTACTTAGCTCACTTAGTGATTGTGGGAAAGTTGTTTAGCCTACAGTTCAATTTCTTCATCTGTAAAATGGGGGTTTTAATATCTCTGAGAACTAGAAGCCTCAAATTAGATGATGATGTAAAGGTGGATTTTTAAGATTTAGACTGTTGTTAACAACACCATTTATGCTGGTCCTTTTTATGTCTTATCATTTTTCCCCCTTTAATCGGACACCTAGACCATTAAACTGGCATAAGCTAGGGTGGTTATTAATTCTAAAGGTTTATATCTAATGTGTTGGATTTTCTTGTCTTTTAGGTCGAAGTAGTGTTCCTGCTGCTTTTGTCAGAGTGCCACCAGCCTTGATCAAAGCTGAAGCTCCTGGAGAGCGACCCTTAAGCAATAGCCCATTTTCTGGACCTCCTGCCCTGTCCCCAGGGGTGGCCCCCTTGCTAGTGGCCCCACCTCGTCGCACTGCCAAGCAGCACATTTGTACCACCTGTGGAAAGAACTTCTCATCGGCCAGTGCTCTTCAGATCCATGAGCGCACTCATACTGGTGAAAAGCCTTTTGCATGTACCATTTGTGGAAGAGCCTTTACAACCAAAGGAAATTTAAAGGTAAGTATTTCAAGTGAAGGGAAAGAAGGAAATGAAAGATCAAATTGGAAGGCATTTGTATAGAGCCTACTGTTTGTCAGGCCATGCATGAAATATTGAGAATACAAAGAAAGGCAAAAGTTAGTCCCTGCCTTCAAGAAACTTAGAATCTCCTGAGAGGAGACAATAGACATGCAAACAATGAGTAAGATATATACAAGATAAACTGCAGGTATATCTCAAGAGGAAGTTGCTAGAATTAAGGGAGGCCTGGAAAAGGCTTCTTACAGTAGGTGTGATTGTGAGCTGAAATGTGATTTGAGGAAGGAAAGCCATGCATAGGGGACAGCCAGTGAAAATGCAGGAGGTTGGATATTTATCTTGTGCAAGGAACCTCTAGGAGAGGCCAGTGACACTGTATTGATGAGTATATGGAGGAGAAGTAAGTTGTAAGAAGAATGGAAAGGTTGGGTGGAGGGATCAGTTTCTATGCAGTGCTTTAAAAATAATTTGATGCTGAAGGTGATAAGGAGCCACTGGCATTTATTGAATGGGCGGGTGAGGAGGGCAGGGTATGGTCAGAACAGCTTTAGGAAGACTAATCACTTTGCCCTGAATGGAGGATGGACTAACGTGGGGAGAGACTTGAGGTAGGGAGATAAACTGGAAGGTTGAAGGCCTTTTATTTTCCAGGAGTGAGGTAATGAGGACCCATACCCTAGTGGTGGCAGTGTCAGAAAAAAGAGAGAAGGGGGATTGTATAGAGTTTTTAGTAACAAAAAAGCAAAGTCAATGGGAATTTTAGCAGATTGGATATAGGGAGTGAGAGATAGTGAAGATACTAAGTTGACATCTCTCTGGGTGACTAAGATGGTGACACCTTGGACAGTAATAGGGAAATTAGGAGAGGGAGGATTTGGAAATCTTGAGCATAAGATACCTATAGACATCCATTTGGATATGTCCACTAAGTAGAGACTCAAGACCTGAGGTGAGGAGAGGTTAGGCCTGGATAAGTAGATCCAAGAATCATCAGTATAGAGGTAATTGAATCCGTGGGAGCCAAGGAAATCACAAAGTGAAACAATGCTTTTGTTTTTGTTTTTTTTAATTAATTTATTTTGATTTATCAATAATCACTTCCTTATGCTTTTGAGTTTAAAATTTTTCTCCCCCTTCCTCCCCACCACCCTTCCCAAGACGGTGCATAATCTGATATAGGCTATACATTTACATTCATATTAAACATATTTTCACATTAGTGATGTTGTAAGTAGAAATTAAAACCAATAGGAAGAACCATCAGAAAGAGGAAACAAAACTCAAAGAAGAGAAAAAAAAATTAGCAATTTAGCTTCCATAGTTCTTTCCTTGGGTGTGGATAGCATTTTCCATCACAAGGCCTCTGGAGATGTCTTAGATCCTTGCATTGCCAGGAAGGGTTAAGTTTGTCAATATTAGTCATCACATAACATGGTTGTTATTGTGTACAGATTTCTCTTGGTTCTGCTCACTTCACTCAGCATCAGACCATACAAGTCTTTCCAGGTTTTTCTGAAGTCTGCCTGTTCATCATTTCTTATAGCACAATAGTATTCCATCACATTCATATACCACAACTTGCTCAGCCATTCCCCAATGGATGGGCATCCTCTCAATTTCCAATTCTTTGCCACCACAAAAAGAGCTGCTAGGAATATTTTTGTACATGTAGGTCCTTTTCCCGTTTGTGTGATCTCTTTGGGATGTAGCCCTAGAAGTGCTATTGCTGGGTCAAAGGGCATGCACATTTTTATAGCCCTTTGGGCATAGAAACAATACTTTTGAAGAAGAGAGCCCAGGATAGAGTATTGGGTGGCATGGAGGGCACTCAAGATTAGCAGGAATGACTTGGATGAAGATCCAGCAAAAGAAACTGATGGAGAATTCAGGTGGTAGGAAATCCAGAAAAGAATAGTTTTAGTTGAATGAGGAGGTTAGAAGCCAGATTGTGGAGAGGTAAGAGTGAGGAGAGGAAGTGGGAGCAGCAGTTGTAGATAACTTAAGGAGTTTTGCTCGAAAAAGGAATGAATTAGGATAATAGCTAATAGGGATAAGGTAGATTCAGTGAGGGTTTGGGAGGGGGGTGGTTATAGGAGAGACAGGGGTATGTTTGTAGACAGCCAGAAAGCTGCCCATTGTACCAGAAGAGAGAAGTTAGTGAGAGAATGGGATGAAGATAAGAGGTAGCATTCTGCTGGAGAAGACAGGGTAAAATGAAATTACTTGTACAGGAGAGGGTTTTGTCTTGACAGAAGAGCTATCTACATTTTCATGTGAGACAGGAGTGGAGAAGGCAATAGAGGTTAATGGGAGGTGCATCTGAGTGTATATGAGATGAAAAGAGCCTCGAAATGTAGTGTTTTGAAGGTGACATGGTGTAATCAATTACTGTCCTTCTTAACCTTTGGTCTGATTGTGTAGAGACACACACACACACACACACACACACACACCCCCTAGAGTTGTCTTGTGGCCAATCTAAGCTGTGTCTTCTAATACTGAATTATTATATACTTCAAATTTTTGATAAAGAGTTTCATTCCTAAGTAAGATTTTGATTGTTCTATGTTTTTCCCCACTTTACCCAACCAATTTAATGTATCTGACTAATGCAGTTATTCAGCCTCTAGGGATTTATTTGGTCCCTTTTCTCTTTCGCTAGGTCCATGTTGGAACTCATATGTGGAATAATTCTGCCCGACGTGGAAGGAGACTATCTATTGATAACACCATAGCATTGCTGGGTAATGATGTCAAGAAGGTATCTGAGATGTTTCCAAAGGATATAGTCCCTCCTGCAGTGAATCTTGATCCAGCAGTTTGGAACCAGTATGCAGCTGTGATTAACAATGGCTTAGCAATGAAGACTAATGAGATATCGGTGATTCAGAGTGGCCCTATCCCTGCCCTACCAGTTCCTATCAGTGGTGGAGGTTCTGTAATGAATAATGCCCCAGTCTCCAAGATAGATGGGTCACAATCTGGGATTAGCCCTGATGCTATGGAGAAAGCTAGTGCTACTGACAACGTCCCAAAACATCAATTCCCTCACTTTCTGGAAGAAAACAAGATTGCAGTAAGCTAAAAAGGAAGCTGGAATGAAGAAATACACACTTTAAAAAAAATATTCCAACCCAACTTCCTGGGCTTTGTTTTTGTTTTTCTTATCTATGTGCAAATTGACTATAGTTGTCTTTATACTCTGGGCAGCTCTACAATCATGGTGTTGCTTTGCAAAAAAAAAAAAAAGAAAAAAAGAAAAACAGAATAGGAGTTCTATTTGGAAAAATGCGGGTCTTGCAAAGTAGCTTTGTTGTTTAAACTATAGGCTTATACAAGCTATAGGGAGTTGTACATCCAAAGATTAGTATTGCCTCCATTAAAGATGCTGCTTATGAGCTTTGTCAGTGAAAGTGAGACAAGCCAACCCCGAGCAGTAATGGAAAAAACCAAAAAAACTTACTAACGTGGGCTACTGTTTATGCGGGTAAATATTGTAGAAGGTCTGCCATCCTTTTGTAGATTTAGACTTGTTTGTGGGTTTTTCTCACTTCTTGAATGTACTTTTTTTTTTTTTTTTTTTTTTTTTTTGTAAACTAAGGTTGTAGAATGAGGTCTCTCAACCTTGCATCTGAAACAAATGGAAAGGCCTTTCTTTATTGGACTTGTTCAGTCCCTAAGGAATTAATGTTGTGTGTTGGTTGCTGCTTATTTAAGAACAATTCAGCTAGCACCCCAAGAGTGCCAAAGCTAGCTCTTCAGGGTTCTCTCACCACATTTATAACTTTACCAAACACTGAAGGGGAGATTTCCCTTTGCATCCTCTCTCCCCGACAAGGGGCTCTCAGGTGATTTAATTCAGCTAGGCAGTGTCTGCCTTTTGAGGGGGGGTGAAGAGGGAACAGCATTCCCATTTTCTGTCATTCATTTCACTGTTAACTCTTACACCAAGGTCAAGAAGGATTTGTTGTGTATTAGATGAAGGTTTCTGGATATGGGAGAGGAGAAGAGTCCTGGAGTCTAAGCTTTCATTTATCTACCTCATTTTTTTTTTCTTTATAGCTGTAGTATCTATTTTTCTATAAATATGACCACTGAACTGGAACTCCTTGTTCCCATGCACTAACAACAAGCTTATTTTATTAGTGGGAGCAACTGAACTTGGATGACTTTTGTCCCTCTTTGTATCTGGTTTGTACATGTAATAAAATGTAAAGTTAAAGATTAAACACGACTATAAAGTGACTCTTGGGGGAGGGAAGAAAGAAGACCCTGACTTGTGTTAGGGGAAATCATTTAGTGCTACCCCCTAACTTTGGAAGGGCCAGAAACTGAATGTGGATCAAGATTGCTAGTAATTTGTATAAATCGGGTTGTATACCTGATCATTGTTGTATATGATCTTTTTGCCAAGTTGTGCCTTCCTTCCTCCTGGATCTGTGAGAGAACATAACAGTACTTGTTTACACTGTGAAAGGGATATTGTTACAAAAACAAAAAACACACAAAAAAATGGATACCAAATGCATTGTCATTGTCAAGCTTCTGCCTTGTGAATGTATGACCTGAAGAGAAATTCTGTCATTTTGTGTACCTGCTGATATGTTTCTGTTTTTTGAAAATAAACTTGGGATGGCTTTTTCATGTGGTATGCAGGTTTTTCTGGCTGCTTAAAAAGACTTGACTTCCAAGCACAGTAGGCCATTATTCAATAACATGTATTCTATGCCCCTATTTAAATATGGTTTTGGAAACTAACTATAGGGTGTGGCCAATCTTTGTTTTGCATCATCATTACCACATAAAATAGTCTGGGCAGGAACAGTATATTAAGAATTCCAAGCATTGGTTTTTATAAGGACTCAGATACAGACCCTGTGATACTGAGCAGGTACTGGGCCTCTTAACTTAGCAATAAAATGACACTGGACTAGAATTCCAAATAATATCAAACATAAACGGCTCTTAAGTTTGCACGCTGCTTTATGTAGTATTTTAATCCCTTGGGGGTAGGTATAGTTCTCACCATTTTATACAAGAGGAAACTGAGGCAGACAATTACTGTTATTTTTTCACTTTTGAGTAACATTGTCATTATTGCCAGTTATTTGCTTTCAGTCAGTTACTAGAAGCATGATTTATTCAGTAAGGCAATATACTAACTTTGTACTGCTACAGGACTTAAAAGTCAGAACCACTATGTGATCATTAATTAGGTGGGATTTTTTTTTTTTTTTGGCTAGGCAATGGGGTTAAGTGACTTGCCTGGGGTCACACAGCTACTAAGTATTAGGTGTCTGAGGACTGATTTGATCTCGGTCCTCTTGAATCCAGGGCCAGTGCTCTCTCCACTGTGCCACCTGGCTGCCCCCTGGGATAGCTATTTTTAACCAGAGTTCATAATTTTAACTTGGAACTTTTTAAAAAATTCTGATTTTACTATTTTGGGAGTGGGGAAAAGCCCGCTCCCCTATACTTGTGTTACTGTCTCCAGAAATGAAAATGGTACCATGTGTCCCACAGGCAAGTCTAGCAGCGTAGGCTGCTTGCTGATTATTAAAGTGCTTGACCATATGTGAACACTTTCTTGTTGGAATTCCAGTGACCTTTGGAGGTATAGAAGATGAAACCCCAGCTATTCCTGCCCTAAGAGCCACTGTTATTTGGAGTGGTAGCTAGAAAATGAGCAATATGCTTTAATGAGAGAGCATCTGCAATAAAGTTAAGTAGAATGTTGGGCCTACTTTGACTGGGGGTGGTGGTGAGACACCTTAATTTGAAGATCGTAAACCATCTCATTTGAGTCTCTGGATATTCTAGTTATTGGGCATAAAACTGATGAGTTGAAGCTTAGGGACTTAGCTGCAAAATTTACCAACCTATGCAAACTTCACCCCTATAAATTATACTGGGGAAATAACCTGAACTAATTCAGATTGAATTTGCTTGAGTATGGGATTGGTATTAACTGTTGGCTTTCTTCTGAAGGTCTAATGAGTTAAGCATAGTTTGCATTTGCATTTTGTTAATTGAATTTTATCTCTACTACCTCCCTTCCGAAAAAGAAAAACAACCCTGGTAATATGCATAAGCAAGCAAAACAATTCTACATGTCAACCATGTTTAAAAAGTTTTATTTTGTACCCTGAATCCTATCACTTGTGTCCATGCTATACCTGTGAAGGTAGCATGCTTAAATATCGGTCCCACAGAATCATGGTGGTTCATTGTACTGATCAGAGTTAAGTCTTACAAAGTTGTTTTTCTTTACAATGTGAATTTTTATTGCTCTGTTTCTGCTTTATGCTGTATCAGTTCATGTAAATCTTCCCAGGTTTCTCTGAAACTAACCCTTTCTGTTTCTGAGGGCACAATAGTATTCCATTATTCTGCCATTCCCTAATTGACCAGAACCTCTTTATTTTCCAGTTCTTAGCCTCCATTAAAAGAAATGTAAATATTGTAATGGATCTTTTTTTCTCTAACCTTTTTTTTGGGATGTACCAACCTAATACTAAGTCAAAAGGTTTGCACAGCTTAGTAACTTTTGGGGCATATCAAATTGCTGTCCAGGATAGCCATGCCAATTCACAGCTCTTACAGTGTATTAATGTGCCTGTTAACCTGCACCTTTCATGTTTTGTGCCAATTTTGCCATTCTGATGGACGTTAGATGAAGCTTTAGAGTTGCTTTATTTTTATTAGTGATGTATATAATTTTTATATGGTCTTTCATAGGTCGTGTTTCTTCCTTAGAAAAATGCTTGTTCACTTTTGGTTATCAGTTGGGGTGGTGATTTATTTTTAAAAATCAAAATCAGTTCCTTATGTACCTTGGAAATTAGACCTCTATCAGAGAAACTTGCTACACAAATTTTCCGCAGTCACCTGTTTCCTTTCTAATTTTTACTGCATTGGTTCTGTGCAAAAACGAAAAATTTGTCTAACCAAAATTACCCATTTTATCTCATGAAATTTGGTCACTGATCATTTCTACAGTACTTTCATCTTTGACAAGGCATCTGGCTAGTGGCACCTGGCATAGTTTTTCCTTCTGCCTCTATAAAGAGTAGAGCACAGGGAGGGAAATCGGTACTTTAGGAAGGCCAGGATTAAGTGCAGTAAAGCAACTATGCAGCAGCCTCAGTACATTGGGAATAAAGTCTGCTATATTAAATTTAATTTTAATTTAAAATTTCTTGCTGGTCAAATATTTAGTAACATTTTCTTGGTCCCCATCTCTGGTATGAAAAGACTTCTCACTCTTTCTTTAAAGTATGTTAGAGGTTAAGAGGGGAGGGGAGAAGGATTTAGAGTAGGTTCTTAGAATAACACCAAGAGCTCTTAAACCAACACTACTGAGCCAACCTCAAGGGACTGGGTGGGTGGTAACTGATAAAGAGAATGAAGGGAATCCAGACGCTTCAAGAAATAAGGGAACTGGGAGTGTACCTCTATAAACAGACATGGGTGAGTTTGAGCTTGGAAATTCCCTAACCCTTCTGGTACTGAGTTTTATACCAGTTGTGTGAACTTCCCTCTAGATTTCAGAAAACACTAGAAAATGTAGTATTAAAATTAGCTAGAAGAATGTAACTTTCCATCCCTAACATAAATGGAAATATGGAGTTAGCCTGGGCAAAAGTGTTGTATTCACAGTCTCAAATAGGAGCTGTGCCTAAAGACATGGACTTTGCAGAAATCTGAGTTTATGAGGTAGTTTAAAAAATCCTTTAACAAACTATGGTTATGTTGTAAGTTGGGGTTGGAAAAGACTGGATTCATTCATTTCCTTTTCAGCCTAAAAAGCCTACCTTTCACTGAACCACACTCTTCTAGATGTCTGTCACTAATCTGTTTGGCCCCTTTCCAAAATGAAGACACCTCTCACCACATGCACAGTTTGAAGCATTTCCCTTCCAGGTGTTACCACTTCTAAGATAAAGGGAACATAGAAGGACTTGGCACCATATCTGACAGCAGCTCCTTATACAGATCTTGGATTGATCCCCACTCAAGTGGTGTTGAAGGTGAGTGGCAGGGAAGCTGGAAGTCATGCATCAGATGAGCTTTTAAACTGATGAATGTTATTGTCAACATGAATGGGACAAAGACTATATCCTGACTTAGTTACATCCTCCACCTACTAGTCCAAGAGTGTACTGAGTATTTTACTACTTCAAACAAATCTAGAGCCTATCCTGTCAACAAATATGTCCCAAGAAAACCTCAAATCATCGGAATTGGGAACCATCTAATGTTAGAGCTGGCAGACAATTTAGAGATCATCTTGCCCAGCCCTCACCTTTTAGAAATGAAAAACCTTAGGACCAGTGAAATCAAATCACTTACCCTGAACTATTTGGCTAATAATATCTGAGCTAGAGTTCCAACCTAATTTTATTCCTGACCAGGGCAGTTTCTACCATTACTTTTTTATGTTCTATGCTCTGCTTTCATGAATTCAATTCCAATGCATAAATGTTTATTAATTAAGTATCCTACTCTACTTTAGCTGAGCCACATAGAGTTGGGCCTTGGTCATGAAGGCTT